GAGCCAAGGGGGCTGAACCTCTGCTGAGCAGAAACTGCACCTGGGTAGTGATGAATTCTAGGATTTTTTAACCAAAATGTTGCCAGCATAATGCAGCAACTAAATAAAGAAACATTGCAAGTAAAAACTTACTGACTTCATAGAGGAGGAAGGTAAACAGTAATACTGGACCTGCAAATGATGGATAAAATGATCAAGCTATWTCACTGAGAGACAACCACTCTATGAAGCAGCAGTGTTCAATTTACTAATGTTTCAGCAATTTACGTCTTAAATGCAAAAGTGAACCTCTGCATGAACTGGAGTTTCCTATAAAATAACCTCATTATTTAATCCTGTAAAATGCTCTTCTTTTATTAGCTTAAAATATAAAGCAGTCATATGGTTTCTGTTGTACTGTGATTAAGTTACACAGCTGACATTTCTTTAACTAGTGTTTGTTTCTTTTTATTTGGGTTTCACGATATTAGTTTTCATTTGGATACTGTTCTGCCAAGTTCAGTTGTCAGTTTTAGCCACCTTGTGAAATAATTGGAAAGTGTTATGAGAGAGAATTTTTTATGTTTGTTTAACTAATATGAATTTAACCCCAGGTCAGAAGTATCTGAAAATTGTTAAGTTTTTGATGAGTTTGTTTTGACTTCTTTCAAATAATTTTGCCTCCTTGTAGAATAATTAATTAGCAAATCTCAGAGCACTAAAACCATCACCACATTTTAAATTAACCAGCCTCTTCCAGAGAAATGCCAGTAGGCTGTGGAATATTCTTCTGAAGAGCTGGGCCCAGGCAGTGGGACAGAGAAGAGCTGGCAATGGTGTCACTGTGTGTGTGACAGCTGTTTTGTTGCTGTGTAAAAGGGCTGGAACACTCAGGGCTGTTGACTTTCTGTCTTTTGTAAATCCTCGACTCACAATCAAAAGGGAAATCAAGGCAAGAGTTCCTCGCCTGAAACTTGTTCACCTCGGGATGGGGATGCTGTGCCAGGACAGCCCCTGTGTGTCAACAGATGTTCCCAGGGGATGGGGAACACCCACAGCCTGGTTGTGTTTCCTTAGTGGACTGCACAAACCCAGGCTGCTTTGTTTCAATTATAGTGAGAATGCCATATGAATAATGTGTGTACACCAAATATTGCTTGAATGCTGCAGGACAGTACTCATGGACCCCAATCTGAAGTGTCGGGAGCTTTCACATCACTGATGCTGAGTCTGTTTTAATTCACTCTGCCTGAGCATTTGCACAGAGAACAGCATCCTGTTATCCACACCTATGACTGATAAACAGCTGATATTCTATGGAGCCACTTTTGTAGGAGGTAAAGGAAGTTCAGTCAGCTATCCATAAATTAAAGTTTTACTGTTTGCATGTAAAATTTAGTTTTCCTTCTGTGAGGAAAAAGCTGAGTGAACAGGAGCCTCATGATGTCACAGGGATGACACCACCAGAAACTGCAGCTTGCAAATAATGCACCAATGCAACTAATAATATAAATTATAATAATTTTCTGTACAAAAAAATACATATTTTTGGGTAATATTTTTTGTGGGTAATACATATTTTTTGTGGGTAATATTTAAGCAGCAATAAGAACTAACTGAGAACATACTATGCTTCTTCCACACCGATGAATCATAGCTAGAAATAAGGATAAAACCTCTTCCTCTCAGCTTAAACAGCAAAAAGACATTGGCTCGATTTAACTACGTTTGTTCTGAAGAAAAACTAAAGATACTAATTATCTGTCTGAAGTTTCAGTCAAAAGTTACTGGAGTATATCTGGACTGAGATTTTCCACACAAAATTTACACTGGGATTTAGGTATTCATGTTTGTAATTCTCAATGATTACATTTATTCGATATTGTTGCCAATTTTTTTCTATGCCTTTTTATTTTAATAATTAAACAGCTCTCCATAAATTTTACCTTGCCAAATTAGCTGTTCAGGTTTGCTGTTTGTTGCATGGATCAAATTGTCTTTTGATGAATTGTCTGCACTGTTTGTTCTCTGGCAAAACCGTACCTGCAGTTTGCAAGCAAACAGCATTTCAGCTCAGCAAGGGGCACTGAGGTGTATTTTAAAATGTGCACGACAGAAAGAAAATAGTCTGTAAACCTTGGTTTACTGAGATTTTTAAATCATCTGAGCAGGTCAGGCGAGAGCTCCAGCTGGCTCGAGACAGATTATCTCAAAGATGATAGCGCCCATGTCAACAAACGCTTCACTGCAGAATTCTCTACAGAAGTTTCTGCACATTAAAGACAGGAAGAGCTGACATGTCCAGCTTGCCACAACCTGGGGGAGGGAGTTCCAAAGCAGCAGAAAGCAGATCTTTACTTGTGCTGCCTTTTCTCTGCCTGTCCTCCCCATTTTTTATGAAGTAGTAGGGCTGGGCTGACACATCCTATTCACAGTGGGGCAGCTGAACTGAGGTTGACATTGAAATGTATTTTGCTTGTCAAAGCCATCACAATAGGCAATTTCAGAACCGATGAATTAATATTATTAACATTAATTATATTCTTCATATTAATATGAATGAATAATATAAATATTTTCAATATCTTGTGGTTGGTTTCACCAGTAAATGGCATTTTGTAAACACCAACATTCCAACATCATCTACAAGAAAATTCCCTTTCCAGGTGAAAACCTTCTGGTATCTCCTAGTGAATATCTCTGAGAAAGTCTGACAGAGCTGGGACAGGAACACAAAGCTCCTTCCTGTAAACCTTGTGCTTGGTCACATTTCCCATGGTTCCTTACACACATGTAACCTTCCCCTCTTACCTATCTGGAGACATTGTTCAGCTGCAGTAGGAAGGCATTTCTTGGTGGTTTGGGGAGATTTTTGACTTTGGCAGTTCCTTGCCAAAAGGCAGTTTGCTCAAARCTCCTATGGCTGAACCTATACCTTCATCTGTCAAACAAAAATCAATTTRTAGTATGTTTAACCAAGCAATCTGACATGATAAAACCATACCTAAATTAGTACCAGAATTTGAGGTTAGCACAACCTTTTGGTTTTAWATCCCCAGATTAATTAGTCCTGATGAGAGGCTCATTAGCTAAAGCACAGAGCCACACTAACACAGCTGCACTGTTTTGAGAATCCCTGCTRAATACTAAATACTTCAGACAGTACTGTGCCCACTCAGTGGTGTTAGTTTATTCCTGAGCATGATATTGTGTCCCTTACTTACCTCTTACATTGTCCTTCTCTGATTCCCTTCCAACCTGACACATTATTATGTATTTTCTGATCCCTGAGTCATCCTTGCCTCTAATTCATTATCCCTTGACAGTGTTAACTACAAATCTTTCATATTTAGTGGACTGTTGCAAAAAGTTTAATAAATATTCATGCTAATCAAAAGTGCACAAGGCAGATCTGATGGCTGAACTCGGTCAAAATGCATACCTAGATTAGGAGATAGTCCTGATACACAGACCAGACCCTTTGGATTTCAAGTAAATGCATCTCATTCCCGACATTTCTTTCCTGCACATGTTGCAGAACCGCACTTCTTCCTTTTTTTTTTTTTTTTTTTTTTCTTTTTTTTTGTTTCAGTTTTTTTACAGAAATTCAACAGTCTCCTCATTGCCAACCCGTCCAGACAATGTCTTGCCTTTACTCTGTCCCTTTGTATCACTCCATTGCTATCAGATGGGAAAGAGCCAAAGAGGAATGCCTGCTTGTATCTTACACCAGTTTCTGCTTTTCTCTCTTCTTGTATCCCTCTTTTATTCTGGTGTTTCCCAAGCATAAACAACAAAAGTCTTACATCTTTTCAGTAAAACCACCTGAAGCAACCAAGCCACCAAGAGGGATTCCCATCCCCAGCTCTGAGTGTGTCTCTATACTTTTCTAATGATTTTTCTTTCAATCTGGTCCCATAATGAGCACTCATGAAGAAACCCATTTCTTTACACAACCAGAGCTGGCATAGATCATTGCTGTGCAGCTGAGCCTTAGAGCTCTCTGTCACTAATTCTGCAGTGACAGAGGAGTTTGAATTTGTTTCTGAGTTTCCTGSTCATGACTATCTCACCATAGTGAATGCTGCCCTAAATCCAGTCCCAGAATCAGAGAATCCAAGGATGTTTTGGATGGGAAGGGACCTTAAATACCATCTAGCTCCATCCCTCTGCCATGGGCAGGGAACCTTCCGCTAGACCACTTTGCTCAGAGCCCCATCCAGCCTGACCTTGAGCATCTCCAGGGATGGGAAGTCCACAAGCTCTCAGGGCAACCTATCCTGTATCTTAAAAAAAAAAAAAAAAAAATGCTTCCTTATATCCTAACCTCTTTCAGTTTAAAACCATCACCTCCTGTCCTATCATTCCATGCCTTGTGCAAAGTCCCTCTCTGGCTCTCTTGCAGCCCCGCTTTAGGCACTGAAAGGCTGCTGCAAAATCTCACTTCTGCAGGCTGAACTGGGCAGCCTCAGCCCTCACAGGAGAGGTGCTCCTGCCCTCTCAACAACTTATTGGCCGCCCTCTGGGCTGGTATCTCTTGCTACTCAAATAGCTACTTATTTTGGATTTTTGAAGTTCTTCAATAACATTTTTGTGACACAAAAAGTTCAGAGAATAACTTTGAAATGCTTTATGGAATTGTTTTCATTATCATTACCAAATTCTGCTACACACAGTGATAGCACAACTTGTGGAGGGTGTTGCAGGATGCATCCCTCAATAGCTGGTAAAAGACATTTTAGAGAATCTCGTGATCTGATAAAGATGTTCTCCTTGTTCGTGAGGAGGGAGGGACTTGGCTAAAGTCACACCTAAATTACGCAAGCACACCTTGTCACCCCCACAGCCCGGTGCTTTTTTTTGTGCTTAAGAATGAGAACTGGCACTTTTCCAAGGAGGTGTGTCAGAGGTAAGTGAACATGGCACTGAAGTATCCTATTGTGTTGTAACAGTCTTAATGGAGACCCGAAGGTGTGTCCCCGCCTTTATAAATACCGCGCTGCTTTTCCAACGAGCTCCAACGCTTCCAAAAGAGGGGAATTGCATCGGGAGTTGTGTTTGGGTATCTCCGAGATCCGTGCAAGGTATGTCTCTCAGTTATCTTACTTTTGCACTGTTCCACTTGCAGCAGAAGGTTGCTGCCAAATCTTTATTCATTTTAATGTTATTGTTTGCTGTGTTTGCAGCAGAACTGTAAATCCCATATGAGATTCCCTAAAGAGGGGTTTATGGAGTGAAAATTTGTGTGTAGTATAAGGCATGAAGCAAGTCGAGCAAGAACTAAGTGGGGCCTGCTCACGTATGCCACTGCCTAAGTATTCTGCATAATTCTAAATTTATGTTACTAAAGATGTTTGCAGATAACTGAATGTTCAGATGGATTCCTTACTAACATGGCCGCACATGAATTTCTCTTTTCTAACCCAAAAACTTGTCTGCAGAAATGACTATGATGGAAACATTAAAAAAAAAAAAATACGTTCAGCGATGTAATCATCAAAATGCCAGATTTAAACCCTGCTCTGATCCTGAAAGCTTTATAAAGACAAACACCTACAGAAATGATTGTGCTCTTTGCAGATGCAGAGATCAGATTGATAATAATTTGCTAACTAGCTACATTTGAAAACTGAAGTTGCAGATTTATCCCTGGAATTCATTGGCTTTAAACACAGCCCAGTACACCGCAGGTTTTCTACAAAAGCAAAAAGGTAATTTTGTTTGTTTAGCCATTGAGGTGGAAAAGAATGCATCAATAGTTACTTTTTGATGTCTGGAGAGCTTACCATAACTTTGTTTCAGAGCAAATTTGAAATACTGGCATAACCATTGAATTACAGTGATTTTCAGGATGCCTATGAAATAGTTTTTCTCAACTTGCATCAAATGGTTTCCTTTCTGTCTGGCATATTTTTGAAGAAYAGCCGGAGGTTGGAGTAAAAAATGCTTATGAACCATTTTGCAAAACAAGAGATTGTGGGAACAACTGATTTATTGTTATAACTTAAGATACACATCTGAGATTGACAAATCCCAGGTTCAAATTCCTTCTCCAACTGCAATAGAGATTTTAATTAAGGTACCTYAGTCAATGGGCAGCAGCATGTCCTGGCAGTGATTCTTCTGTCCCCCGTTGCACAGATAGCTGAGTGACTGAAAGTAAGCTTTCAAAGATAATTCATAATGGTTCTAGACACTTACAAAGCTAATTCATAATGGTTCTAGAAACCAGGTATTATTTACAGAAAGGACAGATCATTTTGCTGATAACATCACTTCAGTAGATATCAAAGAACAGTGCCATGCCATGTCGGAAAAACTTCAACTGTCAAATGTAATCCAGAATTAAGTGAAAATGTTTTTATCTTTTTGTTTGTTTATTTCTTTATTTTGAAGGCAGATAACAAGCAGAGCAGAGACCATGAGGATCAAAAGCTTTGGACTCCTTTGTGTGTTGATGCTTGTCTCCCAGATGCTACTAGCCAACTGTGAAAGACAGAAGGAAAGAAAAAAGGGGAGACAAGGCATAGAACATGGTGGGAAAAACCAGAAAGAATCTGACCAAGGAAATGAAAAAGGGCAGAAGTCAAAAGGAGGAAAATCATCTCCTAAAGGCAAGTTTGAAACCAAAGAAAATGCTGAGTGCACCTGGTCAGTGACGGACACGAATGCTGTTACCGTGCATGTGCGGTGCAAGCACGGTGCCAGTGAGTTCTGGTGTGAATTCTCTGGAGACCCCTCTAGCTGTGCACAGTATGCAGCAAACCAGAAATCCTACTGGAAACAAATCTCCAGATCCCTAAAGAARCAGAAGCAGATCTGTCAAGACCCCAAAAGTGTACTAAAATCTAAACTGTGTAGGAAAGGCTCACGAAGTGCTCACCTCAAGTTGACTCACTCAAGCCTCCTAACAGCAGAGGGTCCTGCCAAAGAGGACACAGTGCATCACCCCAAAGAGGCTGCTCAGACTCCAGCAGATGCCTCTGTGACTGAAAACAGGCTAGAGCCCAGCCCTCCAGACTGTGTGGAAGATGTAGATTACATTGACCAGAAGAAGGTGGCTGAGGAATACTGTCCTGAAGGCTTGCTTTCTTTCTGCAAGTTTTTTATCACKATGGTCCAAGACAAGCGATGCTGAGGAGGTGTTTCTAAGGCTCTGAATCATGAAAATCTGGTCTTATCTAAGTTGCTGCAAACCATTCCAGATTTTATTCTCATGTTATATAGTGTATATAAGCAAGAAGGARTATATTTTTCTGATTTTGTATATACACAACAGACTGCACTTAACACAGTTGAAGATGCTATAGRTGCTGAGTGCCCACAGATTGCTACCCAAGGGATGTGTTACCAGTGGATGTTACRTACCCTGTGCAGAAGTGTATCAGTGTGTCCTTGGCCCTCTTTGAGCTGTGCTAGCCAAAGTGRTGAACTCAGTGCCATGCACTTCCTGGTTATGTACCATGCTTTTGACATAAAAATTATTGAGGAAAATAAACTTCAAAATACATTAAAAATATTCCCTCTCTCTCTCTCTGTGTTCTATTAGATTTCTCTGTAAGTACTAAGTCTTTGTCAAAGAGTGATCTTTCACAGTAATGAGGTAAAGTGTTGTTAATAAAGCAATTTTAGAAATACTTTTGCAGCTTTGCAGACTTCAGCTTTTGAYAGGGTGCCACATTATCATTAGATTTTCATCATTATAGTAATGAAGGGCAATGAGATTTTCTGTTTTTTCAGTAAGTGTGCAAATCTTTAGTTTTTTTAATCTCACCAGAGGATGTCAGAACACTTTGAAAACATCTGTTYCCTCTTTTCTCCTACAGTGAAGCACTTTGTACTGATTTCTGGCAGGTAAACAGAGATACAGGGTTAGAATGAGTTATACAAGTTTGTACATGGGCCCAGGACTGGATCCCTCATTCAACAGCTAAAGAGTACATATTCAACACCTCCTGTACTGTATTTTGTAATTCCATGTTTTTTTATCTTTCTGCATGGACTACATTAATATTTTTCTGTTCATTAAACTTCATCTGTATTTTAAAAAACAGCCAAACAAAAACCTGCAACAAAAAACTCCACYCAAAACTCCAAGAACAAAGATTTTACAAAATGTAGACCCATATAATGACAACTAATCTTTGCTAATTTTTGAAACTTCAGCTAGAAGAAATGTAAAATGCAACTTAAACTTTGTTGCAGATCTGAGCACAGAAGTATGGAACTCTGCTTGTGGTCCACTTGAAAAAACTTGAAATTTCATGAAAAGCAATTTCCCTGACCATTTCTGGGAAATTGAATTAGTGTTTCAGTTTGTTGAGAAAATGTAATCCATTTCCTTCTGTAAATCCGTCATTGCAAGAATATTTTCAAGATGGGTAGTTATGAGTTGAAMCTGGGATGCTGTTATTAGTCAGGCAAACTGTGTTTGAGATGGATTCAGATGCATTTTACCAAGTACAAATGGCAAGAAAGAAGCAGGTTCYTCTTACTGAAGTCCCAGTCTCTGCATGCGCTGTGGAAACATTGGCTGTTACCAGACTGTGCAGCATAAATTTGGTTGGACTGGTGCCCACAGCAAAGCAAAATTCCARTAAAAAGGGGCATCAATACCAATACCTGTGGAGGCTGGGAGACATAGGTGTTTTTGTGCCAAGCAGGGTGGRAAAACAGCCACCAGCTCCTTATTATGAAGGTCAATACATAAATACAGAGAGGCCAGGTAAGCTGCAGCTGCTAGACACTTTCTGTSTCAGCTTACACCCCCTCACATTAGGAGATAACTGAAATAAGAAAGTCAAAAATGCACAGGAAGTATTAGGAGATTTATTTGGCCCAAGCCATCATGCACTGCAGTAATTAATTACTAATGTTCACTCTGGTGTACAGACACCTCTATTAGTTCCAGGTCATACCCAGAGCACTGGGCAGGCCTGCCTTAAGAGGTTCACTTGCTCCAGATATTTTGGAAAATGTCCAATCCTACCTGCCCTTAGCTGCTGTTACCCTTGGGAGCACCATGGTGAGTTCTTTGTGCCTGGAGCACGATTGCTTCTCTGAGTTTCCAGAAGGCACTGCTCTCCTGTGGCTGCCAGCCAGCCAGGCACAGCAGGCTGGTGACAAATCCCAGAGCAAATTCCAGCCGGGATTCCAGAGCTGTGAGTTACATCTCTGTGTGCAGGACTGTCAGCTCCYGGACCCACGTGCTGCAGTTGCACGTTCCTCTCCAGGGATGCACTAGATTTCTTCTGCCTCATCTTCTTGTTTCCAATCAGGGTTGCCTTTTATCTTCAYGTTTTGCTCTTTTCAGGAGGAAAACATGCTCGTCCTTGGCAGTTCATGGTGCATTTCACCTGCAATGCAAGCACTGGTGCAAGGACAGTGTGGAGCATAAGCAGAAAAAAGGGATCCCTGTGCAGTCTTTTTCCTCGCAAGGTGGGTGAATGTGAGAGTGAAAATCTCAAAACTGTCTCAGCCAAAGTGTGGAATTCTTTACTTCCACGGGTGTGTAGTTTTACTGCTCTTCAGAAGGGTGAATTTCAGAATAGCAGGGTCTGAAGCAAACATACTTGGAGTCAAATTTCATTACAGCCTTTTCTCTAATTGTACTAATCACAACTCTGTGGTTAAGAGGATCCAAGATGTCATTGCACTCACCAATGCTGGTGTTTCAGCCAACATCCACAAAGCAATCACTTGACAGCAATCACACATGAGCCTTTCTTTGGGGCATTTATAGAGACACTGAAGTCAGTATAACTTGGGTGATTCTGGAGTCGAGCAATTTAACATTAAAAAAAATCTTTCCTGGTATTGTTCATCTTAGGACCTCTGCTCATTATGGAAAAGTTCACAGCTGAGCTCCATTTYCTGACTCCTTGTCCCAGGGGCACTCGTTGTCATTGGGTCAGAACTTCATGTTTGAAGAACTTGATTGCTGTAACTTTTCTAACACCTTTTCTATCAGGGCAGGCAGGACCACAATGAAGGAAGCAATGAAAGGGTTTAAATTCTGACTGTGGGGTCCAAGTCCTCTGTCCTACCGTATTGAAATCATAACAATCTCAGTTTATTAGTGTTAACATGAGCTATGGAAAAATCAGCCCCATTTTACACCTGGGGAAACAAAGTACAGGATGGCTGGGTGACCTTGACAATCATGGGAAAAAAAAATCAGTGGCTGGTTCAGCAACCAGAGGTCTGGAATTCCAGTGGTTCCCTTCTCCCACACCTCATGATAACACCATTCTGCACAAGAACTGAATGGRTTTATTGCTGAAGTTACTCAGCTAATTTCTAGGTATTCTAAAATTATTGGGAAAATCTTTGTGAAAAATTAGCTTACTTTCTATAGTTTGTTTCCAGACAACCTTGGGTATTATAATTTGAATATTTACTTGGGAAGGAAGATAAGGCATTTGAAGACAGGAAACTCATTTTAGCTTCAGAGATGAAGTTTCTCTTCCCTTGCAAGATGGAATATATCACCATATATTATCTCCTAACATACGATGTTTTTTTCTGGAAAAATTTCATGTTTCTTTGTATGCATTAGGAAATGGGAAGACATTGTTAATGCCCAGCAAATAGCTCTGGCAGTGCAGCACTGCCTAAAAATCTGTAAAATTTCAGCTCCTTCAAAGTTTTATTCATTACTATTTACTGCAGTGTATTTTACTCCCTTTTTCATACATAATTTCATTTGAATGCRTTTCCGTTCCTTTTGCAACCTCCTTTATTCATTTACCACTTTGGAAACAGGACAGATTACATATCTAATCTCACAGGTTGCTTGACTGCTTGAAGGAGAATAGAACCGAGTGACTCAACCTTTCTGCTTCCAGGAGTTCCCCACCCTCCTGCTCCCCCGAGGGGGCCAATGGGTATCTGCCACCTGATATCAGCTCACCTGGATCTGGCCAACCATAGCAGAGACAGTGTTCAGACAAGACACATTTCACACTGCYCTGCTCGCTCTGTGTAGACAGAGCTGAACCTAGATAATAAATTCCACTCCCTTTGCCACTTTTGCCTTGGTTTTTTTCTGATGCTGCCCTGAGCAAAGCAGCTCAACACTTGTTGGTTGCTGCTGCACCTCGCTCGTACCTTAGCTGGGTTTGCATTCCAGTTCAATATATTACATAGTTTGTTCCCCGGGCTGTTCCAAATGTGATACCACACCAGGAACTGATCAAAAGGAAAAATCCAGCTTCAAGGATGGGAAATTTAGCTAAAGTTCCAGTCTGCAGGGGTTCTTTGCAATYTCATCACTGGGATGATGCTCCTGACGAGAGCATGTGTGTCCTCTGCTTGCTATCACCACACATGCTGCAAATCCTAGGGAATTTCTGTGCTCTAACATCCTGGAACTTCTTTCTGCTCCCTCCTTGACCAAGCAGGGGGACTCTGAACCCTGGCTACAGTCACCACCTCTCTTCAAAGAGCCAGAGAGGGAAGATGGAGTGCAAGATGCCAAATGAGGATGGAGTTATCAGACACTGAACACCTGGAGGGCTCAGAGGGAAATCTGTGYCTCTCCTGCTCCTTGCAYTGCCATGAGTGCAGTGAGACAATAYATRGTCACACATAAAGAGAGGGGACTGGCCACATCAGAAAGATTTTCACCTGCTTGCAGGGCTTTGTAGCAGAAAAAGATGCAGTGGGCCCAGCTTATCTCTTTTACAAGGATGGATACATAAGGGATTTCTTTGGAAACATGCTGCTATCCATGTAAAGCATTTGCTTTATCCAGCTACTAGAACTTCTTCCAAACTTGCTGATCAATCCCACTAGAAATASCTGGCTTTTAAAGAAGGGATGATGAGAGTGGAACAGAAGTGAAGAGGGCCCATCAAGCCAATGTTACCTGTCTGCCTTGGCCACAGATCACACCAGGCCCTGGGTGGAAATGATAAACTTAATTAACCCAACGCTCCCAGTGGAACATGTAACTCTCACRCTGATTTCCAGGCAACAAACAGACACATCAAAGGGAATTTGTTATACAGTGAGAGCCTGTGACRTGTTCAAAACTGTCCACCACTGTATGGTGCCTTGTGTATGCCAAGGAAGAGGAGAGTTGTTCCAGCCAGCCAGAATGTTTGATGTTAAAAGTAATCTTAAAATTCAGGAATTACAATTTTATCTGTAACAGGAATGTGTTCTATACATGCATAATATGTGCACTAATTATATGTAGTTAGTGTGCTTAGATAATAAAATATTATTTAAATAATGGGAGTTATCTTTCCATCTTTTGCCTGAAGGTGCTGTGGTCACTCTAGAGRTGGTGTGATTCCCTGAAAAATCTTGCTCTGCTTTTGGGCTATTCCACAGCAGCTGAATGCCTGCAGATGTACGTGCCATGGTGTCTCTAGAGCTCCCAGGCCACTGTCACTGGCCATGAGCTGAGGACATGAGCTGATGATGTCCTGGCCAGTGTCCAGGGAGGTGATTACACTGTGCTGCCCAAGCTCTTCTCAGAATTTCAATCAGATGCAGCTTTTTTCACTGAATTACACTGTTTTCTGCTCTGTTAATGCCCCAGTGTGGCTGATTCCATGTAGGAGGGGACTGGGAGAATATTTACTGAGGTCCCCTAAGCATGAAGGAGTTGTTAAGGCAATTTCTGACTGTTATTTATAGAGAAGACATTAAAAAACAAATAAAAAGTTAAAAGTGATGGTATAAAAATAAAAGCAGAAAAATTTTTGTTTTCAGAGAAACAGATTTAATATTAACAATTAGAAATGTAGTCTTTGTGTCCAGTGTTTTTACCTTGAACATCCTTGTGCTTGATATTTCCTTTATACTACAGWCCACAGAATCCTATCAAAATCTTTGCTCTCCCAGTTTAAGTAAGGCTTAAAAACATAAATTTGGTCCACATCAGCATTTCAAAAGTCAAATTCCAAACACAAAGAGCCCCCTATTTAYCATAACTTTAAAAATTTCATTCTAACCCAATCTCATAGGGGGATGCACAGCTTTAGAGYGCTTTAAACTGTGAGCAGAGAGATACCAGGCAATCAAATCTGA